TAATCTGGCTCTGTCATGGTAAACAAGTAATTCCTGGTTAGAAACCACATGCAAAATGTAAGCATTAGGGCAATGGCTGCTATTAGCTATTACTGTCTAATTAGTCATCTACAGTGTACAGCACAGTACCAAGAGAACTACTTGTAATGATCGCTTGGAAAGGAAAACAGAAATACTCTGTAATTTCCAAAAGTGTGACTTGAATGCAGTAATTTACTGCACAACCTCACTCCAAACATGAGTCAGGCTGTATTTATTTCTTGTCTTGTGCATCTGAGCTAACTACCTTGAGGCAGCGGTATAAAAATCAGTTGCTGTGACTCGCTTCTTGAAAAATTATTTTGCTCCTGCTTAAAATCTTGGCCTGCTTGACCTCAGCAGCCTTCACCAGTTTGAAAATGCAAGTCATAATCCTCTGTAGGGATTTAGCCAGGTGTCTATTACAGCATGTAATCTGTGATAGAGCTTCCAATATTCACGCTGCAGAAAGGTTAAGCCCCCCTGTCTTTCTTCCTGAGTAAAAAAGTCCATGAGGTGTTAGTGTGGACAGGAAGCAGATTGAAAGAAGCAACATCTTCAATCAAGCCCTAAGCCTGTGTGGATGCCACTGAGGAGCCATCCTGATGAAAGGCAGGCGGCTTCGCCTGAGCGGCAGCGCTCGAACTTTAAGCCTCGAACAGCGGCTGCAGCACCGCTGCCGGCTCCCCTGCTGACGTTCAAAGGTCATGCTACTGCTAGACCTCTGTTTTTAACCAAAATCCTCACTCTAGGGTCACCGTCCCATCCGTCACCGAGTTGTTCCTGAAGATGCACTCGGTAAGACACGCTCCTGCCCAGCGGGAGCAAGGCCAGCCCCTGCGCCCCGTCCCGGGCAGGGACACTTGCAGAGCACCTCAGACGCTACTATAAAAGTCCAAGCTGGCTGGCACGAACAGACATCACTGTGTGCTAAAACAAACTAAGTCCAGCTAGTTGAGGAGAAACCCTGCTGGGGCCAGTCAGCCCTAGTCAGCAGCTTCTCAGGTAACTCTGCTTTTTTCCAGCCCGGGCTGAGCGTGCTCGAACCGTGTGATACAGCCACGTGCCCTTGCCGTGCCTGCAAAATGGGTACCTCCTCCTAAAGCCAAAACTTTTAGACTGTGTCAGTAGTTTTGGTAATATTTTGAATTCCACGAGCATTCTAAAACAAAATAAATAGCAACTTAGTCTGCCTGCCTGCGAGGAGCTATTTAGTATCAGTCTCCAATTACTGTACAGGAAAATAGTGGGTTTCTTTTAGATGGTCATGGTGTTGGGAAAGCCTCAGCTACCTTTTACGCTAATTGGCAGTAAAGTGTTCAGAAGTATTTATTAGTGTTTAATTATTTAGAAATCTCCTAATGGCTTAAATATCATCTTGAGAAGTTATAAATATTTTCCACCTTGTCCAGCTGAAGAGCTGCTGCTTGGAAGTCTTAAATGAAGATCTATTTACGGCTGCCGGCTGGTCCCCAAATTACTTACCGCTGCTAATGCTCCAGTCCTTTAGATGCCCCCAACACAGAACGGGCTTAGTTTTCACAAATTGGGGAAAGTTTCTCTTTGTTGTATGCATTTTACGGAGATAGAGGTCTTAAAGAGGATTATCACAGAGATCAAGACATTTAAAAACGTAGCTAATCCCAGTTAAATAAATCGTTTTCATACTAACATGTATTAAGGGACGTTCATGTAGGGTAAGACCCCTTTACACTGTTTTGGTGACGTAAATATGACTTAACATGCAAATTACAGTTAAGATGAATTAGAAGCTGTTTAAAGCCAAGTTGCTGGTAGAGAAAAATGTGAATCTGACTCCAAGCCTCTGAAGCAATAATCACGCTAAATAGTTCAAAATTACATCAGTGACTGCCATGTCAGTAGGCAGAGGGGAACTTACCTAAACTCATCATTTCTCTCCTCCTCCCTGTGTTAGAAAAAAAGGACATTTTTTTTATCAGCTTACATCGTCTTAGATTTTTTTTCTCCTAATTTCCTCTCTAGAATACTGAACTCCACACAGGTTATTTTGGTGTCATCAAATCATTCGCCTCTTAAAAGAGAATTGCGTGCTATAAAATTAAAAGAATAATTCAATTTATTGGGGAGGATATACCTGAAGCCTTTTGTTAGGATTCTCATTTGCAGTCACGTCCTTACCCCAGGGTTTCGGTGGCAGGTTGTGCCACTGGCATGACCGCTGGCAAGAGTTTCAGGTGCGGGACAGCACTGTGATTCTGACCCATTTCTCACTATACTCTGCCATTAATTGGAGTAGCCTCATCCTTCCCAAAAAGCTTTGTGCCCACAGAGATGTAGACTACCGTTCAGTAGCAAGCTGATTTTTAGCATTCACTGCACCATTCTTTTAGGTACCTTACTGCTACCAGCTCTCACGATCTCACTGCGTTCGCACTAGCTTGTGTTTTGTTAGAGCCCTGGATCCCAGAGTTCTCTGATTATATTGGCACCTCAGCTTTTGCTAAAAAGGAAAAGGTGAAAGAAGAAGGGAGCAAAAGAAATCGAGTCTTATATACAGAAAGAAACAATATGTCCCACACAGTCTGGGTTACCTGCTGGAAGTCATAAAACATGCCTCCTCCAGCATCCAGGGACTAGCGGATCAGAGCGGCTTTAGTTTTTAACATGAAGAATCGCAACAGACTCGGTGGTTGCTTGTGGAGCAGGAAACCAAAGCCATCCCTCAGCAGTGCTTAATGCACCTGTCTGGCTACCCAGGAGCATTTATTTGCTGGGTTTCAACACCCGTGACCTCCCCGTGAAGTCGCTTTTACCAAAGCGATGACAGAAGCATACAGGTTAGGGGTACGCAGGCAGCTTCGTGGTGACAGGCACGGAAGTGACCAGATTTTTCTAGCAAACCTCAGAAAGGTGTGATTCACGCAACTCTCAGCATTTTCTGCAAAACTGATATTTACGTATAGTCAAAGGGTCTGGAACCCTTACAGATGTCACAATATGTGTGTTTTCCCTAAGGAAAAGAAAAGGCCTAAGTGAGTTAGCAAATCCTGGCATTTGTGTCTGATATATTAAATGGCTCTTAAATAATAAAAAATTCGGTGTTTTCTCTATTCTGCTTGAAACTTATTTTTGATTTTCACTGTTTTATTCAAAAGGAAGGCATAGAAATAGCAACCGTGAGCTTGAAATCAGAGCTGTAACAGGGACTTATTATAGACACATTTTACAGAGTATTTTCAGTTACAGCTGCATGCTTTGAAGCCGTCAGTGTAACAAGCAGTGTGCTGCTTTTCAAATAACCCTTTTTGTTGCCTTGTAGGTTTTTCCCCTAACTTCGAGTCCCAGTGAATCGTTGTCAGTTTTAGCATTCAGCTGTATTAATGGGAAAGAGAGAGAGAAAGAAAATAGTATTTCCCTGTCCAGGTAAGAGGAAGTTGCCAGTGGGGAGGTCAAAGTGAGTGCACAAGTCCTTCTGCTTGTGTTTCGTGGGGGTATGTCAAAGAGCAGAGCAGTGGCCAGGGTGGAAACTGATGTTTGAAACCCGTTTCCCACACTGGGTGGCATTGAATCGCTTCATTGCCCCCAGGCTTTGAGACGGAGAGAAGCTTAACTGTAATTATAAGAAAAGAAAAGGTTGATTATCATACCAGGGCTTGTTCTGTTTTCAGGGTAGGTGAGGGGAACTCTGATTAATGACAATAACAGCTACGCTTAGGCCCCTGTCGAGCACCGCTAGGTGTAGGCATGTGCATCTTTTTCCCCAGCAGTGCTGACCATCGGTGAAAAGAGGCATGGCTTCTTCCACAATCCATATGTAAGGTGGAGGGAAGGATACAGACCAGCGGTTGCTCTCTGGAACAAACACAGAATGAACAAGTAGCAAAATATGAATGTACTGTTGAAAGCTGAAATTAGATAGACGTGATTCAGTGCAGCCTACGGGGTCTGATATCTTGGCAACTGCTGCAAGATATCCCCAATCGGCAGACAAAATAGCCTTTGTGAAGAAGCAGAAGATTGTAGTGTGCAAGTTAATGCATCAAAAGGCGAGGAAGAGAATAATTCACTTTCACCTTGCTACAGAGGACAAGCAGCAGTAAAAGCTGTGCACTGTTGGCAAGCTTTTTTTGTTGCTGTTTTTAACTCAACCCCCAGTTCGGAGCTCCAGCCACCTCGGCAGCGTTCCAGCTGGAGCTGCTGACATCTCCCACCTAATCAAGTGCTGGATTATCTTGTCCTGATAAATTGGAGCTGGTACCTCATGAAAAGTCTTTCCTGAAGTACTTCACTACCCTGTAATAAGATGGCAGATGTCTGAATCAAGCCCCAGAGCTGGCCGAGCACTGTTTTTCTAATGGCTTTTGGTGGCGAGTGTAAATGTTTTAAGGCAAGGCGGTGCTAAGCTGGGAGCACAGTTAAGCATGATAAATTTCACACCCAAGTGAAAGGAAACTTGAAGGTATACTGGTTCATACTGAGTACATGTGGGCTGCACTGCTGACCTCAAAACACTTGCCCTAAAAATAGTTCTTTTGTGAACAGAGCTCTTGAGGAACGTACTTGTTTTAAAAAGAAATTCTCTTTGGCTGCTGCATCTTTCTAGGAAGAGTCGGAGTTACTGAGCTGTTAGAGACTTGCTTACTGTTCTCGGTCTTTTGTGACTCGATCGCTGGTCTGAGTCATTCAGGGTAAATAAACTCTTTTCTTTCTCTAAAACATACTAAGAAAAATGTTTATGTTACAGAAGCAAGGGTGCTGTATGTGTGTGTGTTTGTACATTTACTTCAACAGGTAAAATACCCAGGATAAAGCTCGTTAAGATAACGGGTATTCCTTGCAAGCATCTGTGTTTTCTTTCTTGGTTTCACTCCTGGAGAAAAAGCAGCAGTTCTCATGTGCCAGACAAGAAACATCTTTATATGTAACAGTCATATATATATATGACATATACTATACCATGCCTCCCTGCCTCTTGTAACACCGCTTTGCTTCTTTTCCAGGGGAATCCCTACATGTGCAATAATGAATGTGATGCAAGTACCCAAGAACTGGCTCATCCTCCAGAACTGATGTTCGATCTCGAAGGAAGACATCCCTCCACATTTTGGCAGTCCACGACTTGGAAGGATTATCCAAAGCCTCTTCATGTTAATATTACGCTCTCCTGGAACAAAACCATTGAGCTGACAGATAACATAGTTATCACTTTTGAATCTGGCCGTCCAGACCAAATGATCCTGGAGAAATCGCTCGACTATGGACGAACGTGGCAGCCCTACCAGTACTATGCCACGGACTGCTTAGATGCTTTCCACATGGATCCGAAATCAGTGAGGGATTTATCGCAGCACACAGTCCTAGAAATCATTTGCACAGAGGAATACTCTACGGGGTACATGACAAATAGTAAAATAATCCACTTTGAAATCAAAGATAGATTTGCTTTTTTTGCTGGACCTCGGCTTCATAACATGGCTTCTCTTTATGGCCAGCTTGACACAACCAAGAAGTTAAGAGATTTCTTTACCGTCACGGATCTGAGGATAAGACTGCTTAGGCCAGCAACCGGAGAAATATATGTAGATGAGCAACACCTGGCACGCTACTTTTATGCAATTTCAGACATAAGGGTATATGGAAGGTAAGAGAATATGTACCTTTAGAAACAGGCATGTATGTTTGGTTTTAGAGGTTATTCAAAACCGTTTATGTCCCCAAACACGATGACATTTTCTGCCAAGACATGTTTGCTGGAATCGGGCTCGGTTGAAGTCTGCTTCTGGTCATACTGGAAGTTTCTGACTCAGCGGCACAAAGTCCCGGGTGTTCACTGTCGCTAGCCTGGGATCTTAAGCCCCAGGTCTCACGAGCAGGATGATATTAAGAGTTTCTTAGGTTGGCTCAGGAATTCACCCTGGCATTAGGACATTTTCTGCTTTTTTACCGTTGGAGCCTCATCTGATGGCAGTTAGCTAAAAAGATTCTGTTTTATCGTTGGACTTTTTCAGGCCTTTAACATAAGCTGTAAGTGATACAGCAGCCCTTGCGCGGACCCCTCCCACTAGGTCCGGCTGGGAACTGCCTGTGAACAAGGAAGGCGGCAGAGATGAGAGTCCATTCCTTGTACTTTAATTAGCTCTGAAATGCAGTGAAGCCTAAGTAAAACAGAAAAAAGCAACAGTGTTTTGGAGAGACTGATTTGAATACAGCAAAGATGATTACTCAGCCGGGTTCAAGACACATAGTCCCTCTGGGGCAAGCAGCGGCTGGTATCAGGTGCCGTAGTCCCAAAAATAATAGCTGTGCAATGACGTTCCTATCGGGAAATTTTCTTCCCAACTCAAACTAGCAATTGACTGATGACCTCAGGCAGGAGGGTGATATCCTTTACAGGTGTCTTGGATGCCAGTTTGTTCAGAAGAAATAAATGGGACCTTCTCTAATAGCAATTCACTCACCTCTCTAATGCACCTTTTCCTTCTCCTCTGTCTCTTCTATAGGGAGTTCAAATCTTCCTTTTTAAAAAACTTTTTTTTTTATTTTTTAAAGAGAAGCTAAGTATCAAAACGAACAGGAAAGCTAATGTATCTTGGAAGGCCAGGGCATTTTTTGCAGACACAAGCCTGAATGAAAGAAAATAGAGACAGTGATTATATAAAACACTGGTGACTATATTTGTATTACTGCTGTAGCGAGTTTGCCATTTTCTGCCTCTTTCATACAAGCCTGTCATGTTCATAAGCATTTCCGTATTGCAAAAATCGATACATAAAATCAAAATAGAATCAAATTACTGTGATGTAATCTATTGAGAAATATTCCTCTAACTTTATGTAAAGGAAGGATTGATGCCACATACAGATTTGAATGCATAAGTTCTTTTGCAGTGCTGATATGTTTTTATATGACATCAAAATACATTTCTTAGGACCGTAGATTTAGCATGCAGTTACAAGCTTCTGTGTCCACACCGAATACATAGGCATACGTACAGAATCACTATTTGCATGTGTGAAAGTGTAAGGTAAATGTTACTGTTTTAATTCTTATTGTAACTCTCATTAGTTACGTTGTAAATTATTTTTCAGCAGTCTCTTGAGAGGGCTAAGTGGATCATGGACCGCTTAAGATACTGTTTGAAATAGTTTAGTAACATTAGCCTCAGTATATAAAAAAGTAACACATGTTCTATTTAATGTGTGTCCTTTCTCCATTGGACCCCACATAGGTTAGCTCTACAGAGGGATCCGATCAAAGCTCAGGATTTGAAGGTCCTTACACTTTAAGGAAAGCCTGCTCCTCATCTGAAAACCCATTTGGAGCTTAGTCTGACTTCAATTAAACTATCAGTACTTTATCAAAGAAAGCATCTGAAGGATTAAAAAAGAGTGCATTGCATGCAAATTAGAAACAGAAACCTTCCGAGCACATCTGGGCCACAGCAATCCTGTGAAAAATTATCTATAAAAATGAAGCGTGACTGTACAAAGAACTTATCTGATGCTGATGCTTGTTGTCTAAATGCTGCAGTAATTGGACACATGCTTTAAAAGAAATATCTGGTGTGTAATAGTGTCTCTCTAGATTAGATTCATGTGAATTCTTATCACTCTTCTGCTAATGAGAAGAACAGCTCTTTAGGGATTTGGTGGTCTTTCCTTCAGTATGTAGTGAGCCCTCCCTGCTGAAGAATTTATGGGCTTGCTTACTGCTAGAGTAGCTGTGGGGCTGCAGTACGCAGCCCCTGATTATTTAGTCTCACCAAAGGTAACTTGCAATAGGCCCACTTTCACCTGGGTTTAGGTATTTTTGGTCTCCTACCAGAAACCTTATAGGGCCCCCCCGAAGAGTCCCCAAATCAGCATTATGGTCATGTGCCCTGGCACGCCCCGAGCATGGGAACACGATGGAGGGGGAGCAAGCTTACCAGGGGGTTTGTGCTGCCGTTTCTGGTTCGGCTGAGCTTTCCAGCCCTTGCGGTTAATTTAGAATGTTAACTGGAAATTAAGTTACTTTTTTTTTTTCCCTACAATGTTTCATATTCTGGGGTTTGAGACCTAGATATTTATATACATTTAGTAAAGCTAGACTAGACTATTCCATGAGGCCGGGATACAAAGGGACGTTACCAAGGAGCTTGACATGTGGTGGATGAGTGATGCTAGCAGACGCATTTTAAAGCTAGTCCTTTTACTGAAAAAAGTAACCTGTAGGTTAAATATAGTTAAAATCACCAAAGCTCATAATAGCATATTTCTAAAGGCAGCATAAAATGTAATTTGTTTCACACTGTATTTTAAGGATTGATGACAGTGAAAAGCATCTCTCTTAAAGCTGCCATATTTAATGTACAAGATGTTGGAGTAGTTAATACTTCACAATGAATTATAGATAGGAGATTTGCCCACTTAATATAGGGTTTGTTTTGTCATTGCTTTGCATTTTGGTGTGAAATAAGTCCGAGGTGCGTTGCTTTAGAGATGAAAGCCTGTGTACTCTGATGAACGCCTTACCTCCTCTATTACCACCTGTTTATTCATCTTCAATTTACCACTTCCATTGTGTATTTATTAAGATGATGAAAAAAAGGAAGCGCGGCTCTTAGCAATTTCAGCAACCCCATTGTGCTCACATTATTCAAGAAACCTAATAATCCACACGAACTAATTCTGAGTTACTGATGGTCTGCTTCCCTAAATCAGGGTGATTTTTTCTAGTGAATAATGGACGATGCAGTGTGCCAGTACCTTAATTAAAGAGAGCCTCTCTTAGTCTTGATCTCATTTTAATTTACAGGGTAATACTACAATAATATCACTAATGGAAGGTACATTAAAGGGCATCAAGTAGCATTAACTGTATTAAATTATGGCACTTGTGTTAATTAACTGCTGAAGCAAGATGGTCCTAACGGCTAGAAAGGTCGACTAATGCATAAATAAAGTCTTCTGGGATGGGATAAGAAAGAGCAGACATTTTTTTCCCCTCGTCTGGCCTTGCTGCAGAGAATCAGAGGGTGTCCTGTGCGGTAACCTCAGGAAGGTTTCTCTCACTTCGCTGCCTGCAGAGGTGGCCTGGATTGTCTGCGAGCTCTGCCTGTCTTCAGTTCCACGGGAAGGACAGTCCTGGCAGTAAGCCGTGAGACACAGCTCCCTTTTTTAACTTTTTTTTTTTGTGGAAGTTCACTAAAACGCTGATAATAATTCCTTTGAAGTCAAGCAAAAGGTTCCTAGCAGATTTTGGATCAGGCTGCTAAAGGCTTAACCACGTTCATTCCAAAGTATTTTTGCTTTAACTGTTATATTGTCAATGACGTGTACATTTATACGCTGTAAATTAACTGTAATTCAGGATGCTAGTACAGAAACCCTGCCCCGGTGGCTGGCAGAATGACTAGCTGGCTAAAACAAAGGATCTTATTGCTTTTGGGTGATTAGGTTTTGATCTAAGAGCCACCAGTTTCCTTCTGACACCAGAATATCCAGCCTCTGTACAATGTTATTAAGCCCTTTGGAATTTATTTTTATACTCTTCTCGCCTTGAAGCTTCTGTACTTAAGCCCCAGGGTTTTCTGACCCTGTCTCAGCTACGGTTGCAGTTCCAACAGCAATAGAAACCTCTAAGTCGCAGTACGCGAGTGAAAAGTATCCTCAGTTTTAACAGTTCCTCGCTCTCACATTCTCCCTTCTAAACTTAAATCCATCTCAGAATCTGAATAAATTACTCTGAAGGAAAGCATATTTGCTACTTAGGGGGTTGGGGCTCTTCTGTCTCTTGAGTCAGCCTGCCCCTCCTGCCAGCTGTGCCCCTGCACCCCTCAGCGCGGCTGTGGTGGATTTGGGGTAGGGGAGTGCCCTCCCTCTTAAAAAGAGCTGATCTGCCCCCCTGAGTCCGGAGCTTGTGCGGCAGCCTTCAGCGGACGGTCGCGCCGTGGCGGCTGGGTTGTACCAGGTTTCCTCCTCCGGCTGATTCCACAGGTCCATTCTACGGATGGATTAATTGGATTAATTCTGTATGTTACCCTGGCATACGCTTGACAACGCTGTAATAATAACGCTCTGTAATTTACCCAAAAGCAGAACTTTGCCCTAGGGAAGTGGTAATCCATAGACGTGCTTTAGTTTTATTTATAATAGAAAATGTTTTCATTAATGTTCAGCTCAGAACCAGACCATCAATATGAAGATATGTAGGCTTGAAGCTTTTAAGGAGACAACTGAATACTATTCTTGTTTCTAGTATTTGTTTACCATACTTGAATACTCTTTGTTTTACGAGAACACTTGCATAAGCGGCTTGTTCCCCTTTGAGATTTTCACTAGTATTTGGAGGAAATCTAGCAGTTTCTCCAATTAAATTATGAATTCATTAGAGAACAGGAAAGAAAAAGAAATGTATGTATTTAAGAGCATGTCGATTTATCTTTAACTCCCAAGTGCAATTAGCTTTTTTTAATATATCTACTGTAATATGTCGCTAAGGAAAATAGTCCTTCATTTTCTGTAAACAAATCTAGGATCATCAGGAACGGAAATAATTAAACGGTCACTGTGTTTATTCACACATGAGCAGTCTCCAGTGGTTTGCTCAGTACAGGTGGCCTGGGTGGGTTTTACTCCTGCCCATGTTCAAATAACGCTG